ATCCAACGCCTTTTTTTTTTTTTAATTAAAAAAAAAAGGGGGGGTGAGGAAGCAAAATCCGCAAATGGGTTAAAAGTGTCCTAAATAATTAAGAAAAGTGAGATTTTTGTAATTTAAATACAAATATACTTACAAAATCTTACAGAGGCTATTTACATCCCTCTCCCCCAACCTGACAGTGCGTTCAGTTCCTACAGGAGACAGCCCGAGAGGAGCAGGGAGGGCAGAGCCGGGTGATCCCAGGCACAGGGGTCCCCACCTGGCTCGTCCTCCGCTCCCCGCCGCCTGCGGAAGCGACTCATGGTCCCCAAAGTTTGCCCAGGCTGGATAAGGAGCTGCTTCCCAAGGCAGAGCCCCGGTCCTCTGGCCGCCCGCCGTCCCCCTGGCCCGGCGGGCGGGGGTCTTAGACGGTGGTCTCACCCTGCTTGCTGTTGGTGAGCCTGGTGTAAAACTTCCTCCAGGAGTTCAGGGTTTTCCCAGACCAGATCCAGAAGCCCGAGGTGATGCCCACGATTAAGGTCATGAGATACTTGATCATGAAGACGGTGAAGTCAGGGCTCATGGGCGGGTGGTGGCTGCTATGGTTGTTGGGGCAGGGGATGGCATAGCTCTTACAGCTCTGTGTGACCCAGCTCCTCTCCCACTGTTCCCTAAAAGCTTGCTCGTAAAAATAGCAGGCAATGACGATGGTGGCCGGCACTGTGTAGAGGACGCTGAAGATGCCTATCCTCACCATGAGCTTCTCCAGCTTTTCCGTCTTGGTTCCGTCGTGCTTCATGATGGTCCGGATCCTGAAGAGGGACACGAAGCCAGCCAGCAGGAAGGAGGTGCCGATGAACAGGTAGACAAACAAGGGGGCCAGCACGAAGCCCCGCAGGGCGTCCACATTATTGATGCCCACAAAGCAGACACCGCTAAGGACGTCCCCGTCCACCTGCCCCAGGGCCAGGATGGTGATGGTCTTGATGGCCGGCACGGCCCAGGCGGCGAGGTGGAAGTACTGGGAGTTGGCCTCGATGGCCTCATGGCCCCACTTCATGCCGGCAGCCAGGAACCAGGTGAGGGAGAGGATGACCCACCAGATGGAGCTGGCCATGCCGAAGAAGTAGAGCATCATGAAGAGGATGGTGCAGCCCTCCCGCTTTGTGCCCTGTGCTACGGTGCGGGAGCCGTCCTCAGCGAAGCGCTCGTTGCAGACCACCCTCTCCTCCAGGAGGAAGCCTGCGATGTAGGCCACAGCCACTGCTGTGTAGCAGCCCGAGAGGAAGATGATGGGCCGCTCGGGATAGCTGAACCGCTTCATGTCCACCAGGTAGGTGAGGACAGTGAAGAGGGTGGAAGCGCAGCAGAGCACCGACCAGATGCCGATCCAGGTGCGGGAGAAGCGCAGCTCCTCGGGCCCGAAGTACATGAGCCCGTAGAGGCGGCCGGGCTCGCAGGGTGCCCCGCAGTCCTTCTCCCCCAGGAAGCGGTAGTTCAGGTAGGAAGGCACCTTCAGTGCCCGCGGGCAAGAGAAGCGCCCGCGGGGCTCGCCGGGCCCCGAGCCCCCGGGGCCGCCGCCAGTGCCCCCGCGGTGGGGATTGCTGGTCCAGCTCTCAGGGCGCAGGGCGGGTGTGGGGGTGCCGCGCTCAGAGGCGTTTTGCCCCACGCAGAGCTCGCCGGCCCCGTGCACCGGGAACTTCTCGCAGCGCAGTGTGTCGGGCCACTGGAAGCCAAACTTGTTCATGAGGGCCTCGCAGCCCTGGCGGGCCCGCTCGCAGAGGGAGCGGCAGGGCGGCAGGGCCTGCTCCAGCACGGTGCACACCGGGGCGTACATGGAGCAGAGGAAGAACTTGAGCTCGGCGGAGCACTGCACCTTCACCAGCGGGTAGAACTGGTGCACCTCCAGCCCCGCGTCCTCCTGGTTGGTGTGGCCCAGCAGGTTGGGCATGATGGTCTGGTTGTAGGCGATGTCGGTGCACAGCGGGATGGAGATGGGCTGGCAGTAGCCGTGGTCCGGGATGGAGATGCCCCGCTCGCCGTTGTACGGCGGTGCCGGCG